CAACATAGTACTGGAGTTCCTAGGCACAGAAATCTGAAAAGAAAAGGAAATAAAAGACACCCAAATTGATAAGGAAAATGCAAAGTAGCCACTATTTGCAAACGACATGATTCTCTAGATAAAAAACTGAGAGGCTCCACCAAAAAAAACCTGTTAGAACTAATGAATTAAATCAGATAAGTTGTAGGGTACAAAATTAATATACAGAAATCATTAGATTTCTATGCACTAGTAAAAAAAACTGTGAGAAAAGAAATTAAGAAAACAATTGCATTTATAATTGCATTTATAAGAATACACTATTTAAGAATAAATTTAACCAAGGAGGTAAAATTCCTATACTCCAAACCCATAGGCCATAGATAGAAGAAATTTGAATTGATACAAATAAATAAATGGGAAAATATATACTATGCTTATGGAGTGGAAGATTTAATATTGTGAAAATGTCCATATTATGCAAAATGACCTATAGATTCAATGTAATCCTTTATGAAAACTGTCGCGACCTGTGTGACAAACACCGAGGTCAGGGTCCTGAGGGTAGGGGAATGCAAGAAAAAAAGAGAGAAGAGAAAGTTTGGGAACAGGAGGGTCCCCTGGGCTGATGGCCCAAGTGACGGCTTTATTGTTGCTGTACACAATCTTTTATAATATAAGACTCTTATGGATCAGGTCATTCTAAGAATAAACAGGTTTCACATGATCACTGCCAGCCAAAACATTTAGTTCTGTGTACCTTGTGAACTTTCTGAACGGGTCACAAGACCTTGTTGATAAGATTGCTAGCAAAACACAGTTCCCATGTTTGTGTCTATCTGACTCGGGGTAGAAGAAGGGAGGTAGCATTACTGCCAACACCCGCAGACCACAGGCTTCAGGAATTAACTTTCTCAGCCTTGACAAGGCTTTCGTATGCCCTTGAAAGTGGGGGAATGGGAGGGGGAACCACCGGGTTGGCTAAGTCAACAGGGAACGTTGCTCGACCCGGTCTCAGCCTGGCGCTGGGGCCCGGCCCCCCCACAGAAAACACCAATAACATTTTCACAGAACTAGAATAAATTATCTAAAAGTTTGTATAGAACTACAAGAAACTGTGAATATTCAAAACAATCATTAGAAAGACGAACAAAACTGGAAGAAACATGGCCTTACATTTCAAACTATACTACAAAGCTCTAGCAATCAAATCAGTATGGCACAACAATGGACACATAGAACAAAGGAATGGAACAGAAAGCCCAGAAATAAGCCTTTGTCCATATGGTCAATTAATATATGACAAAGAAGGCAAGAAGAGACAAAGGGGGAAAGAGAGTCTTCAGTAAATGGTAATTAAAAAAAACCTGGAAAACTATATGTTAAAGAACAAAACTGGACTGTTTCTTTACAACATACACAAAAATAAATGTAAAATGAATTAAAGACATAGATGTAAGACCTGAAACCATAAAACTCCTAAAGAAAGTGTAGGTAATAAACTGTAGGAGGTAGGTGTCATCTTTATTCTTTTGGGTCTGTCTTCATAGAAATGGTGACAAAATGAAAAATAATACATCAAACTACAAAGATTTTGCCCAGCCAAGGAAACTACCTACAAAACAAAAAGGCAGCCTACTGAATGGGAGATGATATTTGCAGATGATATATCTGACAAGAGGTTAAAGTCTAAAATATATGAAGAATTTCTACAGCTCAACACCAAAGGAACCTATACAAGTGATTAAAAATGGACTGAGGACCTGAATAGATATTCTTTGAAAGAAGATAAACAGATAGGCAATAGACACATAAAAAGATGCTTAACATTACTAATGATCTAGAAAATGCAAATCAAAACCACAATGAGAGGTGCGCCTCGGTGATTCAGTTGGTTATGCATCCAACTTCAGGTCATGGTCTCCTGGTTGGTGGGTTCAAACCCTGCGTTGGGCTCTGTGCTGACAGCTGAGAGCCTGGAGCCTGCTTCGGATTCTGTGTCTCCCTCTCTCTCTACCCCTACCACTGCCTTCTCAAAAATAAACATTAAAAAAATAAAAAAGTACTTTCTCTGTCCTACTCTAATATTTTGAGTTAAGTGAAATTTTTAAACATTTGTTAATTATCCTCTACATAGTTAGACTTAGGCTTTTTTTCATTTCCAACAAATATTCCCATTAAAATACAGACACCTAGTTATCATTGGAGGAGGAATAAATAAATAAAATGAATAATTATTTAATATTCAAATCTCTCATACGTGCTATTGTTCAATATTGTCTATTATTTTATCTTTCCCACAGGATTTGTTTTTTTTTTAGCAGTAACTTAAACTTGTTTACAAATAATAAAAATAGAATGTAGGTATGTTAAAAACTAAGGTAGAAAATTGATAAGATAAATTCAGAAATTGATGTCTTTATGACAGTTACAATAAAATGGAAAATGTAGTCAATCTTCTCTATTAGTGTCAAATATAATTAAATATCTGTCGATAGGATGATGATTTTAGAATATTTTTGGTATAGTGGAAATGACATAATAAGGACAGAAGAAAAAGTACATAATGTCAAGATGTAGCAAAATTGTCTAAAAGTAAAACTTAAACATCTAAGATATTTTACACAAGGCCTAAATCCTCAGTGTTTGTCATTCAGAGGGAAGCAAGTGAACAGCCTGGGTGGTTAAGTCTCTGACCCCAGTATCTTGTGGAACATAAAATTTGTCAGAGGTATTTGCTGAGGGACAAACTAAATGACACACTGCCAGCTCAAAGCCTCTACATTCTGGAGGTGTGTGAGGAGATAAAGTGTCTTCAAAATAGCCCAAGAGTAAGAATTTCCTGTTCAAATTTGAAGTGACACATTGATAAGAAATCTACTTTTTCCACTATTGCCTCACTCTGAGCTCTCGCAGGGCTGGCAGGCTGTGAAGACCACAGATATTTTCGGTTTACAAGAGGAACCTGGTTCCCTCTGGAAGATGCGTGACTGGCCAACAGAAGGTATGTGTCACCACGGTCCTGCCTTTCTAGTAGTCACCTCAGTGAGTGGGAGATTATAAATGCTGGTGGGATGCATCTGAGACACAGCTAATATACAATGAAATCACAGAGAACATTGGTATCTGCATTCCAACAATTCAGGGTAACAAACAAGAATGAGCATGAAATATGTTGGAGATCTTAAAATATTCAAATTCTTGCCTGTGGAGAAGTCATTAAGAGCATATTCATATGCATAATTGGGTTTGTAAAGCAATATAATTTCGGGTGAGATCAAATAAGCATCATGACGAAGGACACTTAATTTGGATTTGTCATCAGTGATATATTACATATTATTTGATATTTACCCAGCCTTTAAAAATAGATTCTTAAAATGAATCCATTATATCATATAGGTCAAATGTAATTCCTCATACACTTACTTCAATAAATGAAAGCAGTTTGATTTTTTTATAATATGCAAAATGAGGTACCTTCTGTAAAAATGCTAACTTAGAAACTTAACTGTAAACAATCCAAAGACTTTTTATAAAATTGAACAAAACTTGGCCAAGAAAGATATTCAATACTGAAAGACACTCCTGTCTAATGAATTATGTTACATGGTCTAAATGATATGAATCACTAATGATAAACAATTATTGTGTTAAAAATAATTAATATAACTAATATGTTATTGAGATCTTAGAACAGTCAGATTGAGTTTAAGTGCTTTATATGCATCACATTCTACATATTTTAATTCCTATTTTAGATTAGTAAATTAGATAGCTAGACACTAAATAATTAAAAATTTTTTTAGCAATTTTTTATATTTGAGAGACATAGAGAAAGCGCGAGTGGGGGAAGAGCAGAGAGAGGCGGAGACACAGAATCCAAAGCAGGCTCCAGGCTCTGAGCTGTCAGCACAGATCCCAGTGCATGGCTCCAACCCATGAACCATTAGATCATGACCTCAGCCGAAGTTGGACGCTTAACCGACCAAGCCACCCAGGCGCCTCATCATGAAAGAATTTTTAAAGGTGATACTTTGCACTTTGAGAGTCAGGAGTAATTCCAGAGTTCACTGACTGCAGAGCTCATTGACTGAAGTGTGAAATTACATTTATGTGATTTATTAGTATAACTGTACAACTAGAGTCTACCCTCACTGCCTTTGAAATAAGATCTTTCTAGAAGTTTGTAACAATTGTGTTCCTCCGTAAATGATCTACCCTTTTATTTATCATAAAGGTTTCATATCTTTGACATTAAATCAGTTGTCACTGTTTGATGTTCATTAAGTCTTCTTTTAAAAATGGTTTTTTGTTTTTTGTTTTTTGTTTTCTGTTTCCACTGTTGTTCCTGCTTTGGATAACTTATTGTGCCATGTAACATTTTGCAACATATGAAATATTTCTTCTAAAATTTAACAATTCTCAGAACTAACCAGATGTTCAAAATAAAATATCATTTTGATAGTACTGCATTACTTTTTAGAAACACAATTTAAAACCACAAATAAAAGTCATTTGCAACAGGAAATTCCTACATGTGCTAAAAATAATATTCTCCTATCTTAGAGCACTTAATTTTTAACCAATAATGGCTTTAACATTGTCAAAAAATGGTGCAACACTTTTGTTTCTAATACAGCATTTTAATTTTAACCTGGTTATTCTCATAGTGTTGAAATATGTCTGTGGAATCTGATCTTACGTTAATGAGGACACTATTATTCATGAATTCCTTTCTTTTTCACTAATTTAGTGCCTTACATGTTTTCCAATCAGTATTATTGTGCTATTATTGTAAATAAAAAACATTTATTCTATCATGAAACACTTATTTCAAGCTCTGTGGAAGTTAGTACCAGATTTTACATTATTCAACTGCAAATGAGGAGTCTCCCTCACCCTGCACCCCACACGGTGTCACTGTACTAGCAATGTCGTCAGCACATGACACACACTCTTGATCAAGACCTTCAGGGCAGTTTCATCCACATTGTAGCTGACACTACTCAGCTGCAGACATGAACAACCAAGGCGTGACTTATGCGGAACTCCATCATGCTAAGGGCTCAAAAAGACAGCAAGTGCAACCTAAGGGCACGAAAAGTTCCATTTCAGTAACTGAGGAGGAGATAACCTATGCAGAATTGAATCTTCAAAATGCTTCTCGGGACCTTCAAGGGAATGGCAAGAACTCTCCCTGCAAAGGTAAAACATTTAATACAAGCAGGTATATCTGTTTTAGGATGTGAAGGTAGGGTGCAGGTGTGTGGGGAAAGAATAGGATTTCACATAGTTTTCATTTGTGAGGACCAGAGCTGGAGGTTGGAATATGGTATTGTAATTGAATGCCTTGGTATATTCTGAGAGAAGATTCCAATGATAGTGATGGGTTTGAGGTGCAGGTTATTGTATGTGATTTCCTGTGCATTATCGGTTCTCTTGCTTGTATATCTCATAAATGATTGTTTCCAGGCATCCTTTCTCAGTGTTTGCCTTTCTCTTCCTACTACTCACCTTCATATCCAGAGAAGCTCATTGCCGGTATCTTGGGAATCCTCTGCCTCGTCTTGATGTCCACTGTGGTAACAATAGCTGTTATTCCCTGTAAGTACGTGTTTGAATGACTAAAAGGGAATATTTCACCTTACTGATCATTAGTTCCTCGACATAGTGTGTAAATACTTTGAATTTATTATCTCATTTTAACGCATTTTTAATGCATGCTCTAAGTGTGGAATGATTATTTAGAGGTTATCTAAAGTAGAAATAACAGAATACATTTAGGGAGAATTAAACATATATTTGGATTTAATAACTCGAAGGCAAGTCATAGAAGAGACTTTATGGTGAAATATGCATTAATTCTTGAGATTGCTTAAACCAAATATTGTAAGAGATGGTGAGGTTTGGTTCTTTAATCTTTTGAAGTATTTCCTCCCTCATGTTCATTACTTCATTAAATTTGTCTGGTAAAATAGCACACCCAATTTTAAAGTAGGAAACTCAAATTATTATGATTTATTTCATTGAATATTATGTTTTTTGAGAATTGCTTTAATGTTCTAGCTACTGAAGGACCAGAACAGAACAAAACATCCCTGGAAACAAGGATCCACAAAGGTACAACATCCCTTGCAAAGTTCTGATATTAGTTTCGTGTCTATTTTAGCTCTATCTTCAACTAGGCAAAGAGGATAATAGATTCTTTTGGGAAAAGTGAATTAGGAAATTGCCTAATGAACTTTCAGAAATAATGATTATAGGAGAGTATTACTTCTCAGGCAACAACACTAAGAAATACTCATTTAAAATTACCGTACCTGTTGTTAACAATTGCCTCACGTTCCCTCCTCCTATAACATGATAAAAGATAAATCATTCCATAAAGGTGGTTTTGTTCACTGACTCTCAGGACATGTAGAGATGGACATTTTTGTGTTTGCTTTATATGGGCACATAAATTAGGGGATGAAAGCCTGACTCTTCTCTGAGTGTGTGTGTGTGTGTGTGTGTGTGTGTGTGTGTGTGTGTGTTTTGCTTTAATTTTACCAGCTTGTGAGGGTCTACGAATATGTTATGTACATGTATGTGTATCCATATACAGTATGTAAATTTTCATTTTGTAATAGTCAAAGCTTTTTGGATAATATCTCATAATCTCTCTCCAGCGTGTCTCTGTTGTCATTGTCTGAAAGAGTGGGTTACGTATTCCAACAACTGCTATTACATTAGCACTGAGGAAAAATCATGGAACGAGAGTTTGACGTCTTGTGCTTCTATGAACTCTAACCTGCTCTACTATGATGATGAAGAGGATAAGGTAAGTTTTCAAGATATTTCCAGATTCTGTTAAAAGCTTGTGAGTTAATATTATGCTTGTAGAGTTCATCCATAGTTACATATGTATTTATAGTTTACATATTTTAAAGTCTAATATTCCATGGTTTGACTCTATGACACATTATTTACATTTTTATACTTTTAATGTACATTTGATAATTTCCAGGTCTTACTTTTCATAGAAACCTGTGTTTCTAGAAATGCTCTTTTTCCTGAAATAAACTTTACATTTAATTTTACAACACATCAAGGAAACTAGGCATACGATTGTGCAAATTGATTACAAAATAGAATCACACAGTTACAAATTACATCATGAGACAGAAGTTTAGAGCCTTTATCAGGCCTGCCCATTTTCATTTTATGAAATATCTCTGTTTATTTGGAGCTTTATATAAATGGAATCATTCAATGTGCATTTTTCTGTGTGTCTTCCTTCTCTCCCAGATACTATCTGTAATGGGTCTATATAAACACATATGTCTATAGTTTGTGAAATTTCACTGCTGTCTTATATGAATATGACATTTTAAAAACCATTCTCGGAAATTTAGTTTTTTTTAATATGTGGATATTATGAATAAAATTTTATGAAAATTCTTTTCTATGTCTTCCTCAACATATCATAATCACTTATTATATATACCTACATATATATATAACTACATAACATATATAACTACATAATATATATAATATACATATTATAACTATGTAATATAAATATGGTTTTCATAATAAAATAATGATGTATAAATGTAAAATGATTGTATTTATGTATAATTATACTACACTTCCCTGTAAGCATTAGTAGGAAATTGCACATAGATATGTGTATATTTCACTATACTAAATTATCCCTATATTTTTCTATTTTATGGTGTAAAATATGTTGTACCAAATAGGCCTTTGATCCAAAGCTCAGCAGTCTCAGAAAAATGAATTGAAAGTTCTGATGGTTAGAAACAGTACCATTTTCCTGGGTTGTAAATCTCAAGGCTCTTCTCTTTTGTGAGAATGAGAAGTGTTGGGTTGTGTCTCTTGCCCACTTCTCCAGGATGGTGTCTTCTTTTCACTTCTTAGAAGTCTTTGTCATATTTCAGATATGATCTCTTTTTTGAGCTTTTAAGATGCAAATACCTGCATCTGCATTTTCACTCTCATACTGGAGTCTTTAATGATCAGAATTTTTATTTATTTATTTATTTATTTATTTATTTATTTATTTATTTATTTTAAATATAATTTATTGACAAATTGGCTTACATCCAACACCCAATGCTCATCCCAGCAAGTGCCCTCCTCAATGCCCACCACCCATTTTTTCTATCCCCCACCCCACTATCCACCCTTAGTTTGTTCTCTGTATTTAAGAGTGTCTTGTGGGTTGCCTCCTTCCCTCTCTGTTTGTAACTATTTTTTTCCCCTTCCCTTACACCACGGTCTATTCTTAAGTTTCTCAACATCCACATATGAGTGAAAACATGATATCTGTCCTTCTCTGACTGACTTATTTCACTCAGCATTGTACCTTAAGCCGTATAGTTTCTTTGGTCAATTTTCTTTTCTTTTCTTTTTCCCCACCTCCTTCTTCATTTTCCTTTCTCTCTCTCTGGAATGAATAGAATTTTAATGTTACCATGGTCCTACTTAGCATTTTGTGTGTTACAATGATTATTACGGACCTATTTGAGGAGTTAGCGAAAGTTCATGAATGTAATTTCCTCTATTATATTCCTGCATTTACCTTTTTCTTTATTTACTTATGTTTTAACTTTTAATTATGGTTTATTATCCAAATAGAATTTATTTTTTGTGATGCTATATTTCTGATGCTGAGATAAAAGTGAAGGTTATATTTTTCTACATCATTACCTCTGTGATGGAGCATCATTTATAGCAAAGTAGGTCTTTTCTTCATCAATAATTTTATATACATAAAGTTATATATGTATACATATTCTCTAATCTACTTTATATAAATAATATAGATATTATATATCTTTATATAGAGAAGTATATATTCATAGATCACGGTCTATACAGTCCATCACAACCCACAGAAGTTTGAGTAAAATGTAGAGATTTACTTGCCTTTATGACCCCTTACCATGTCCCAATTATACTCTAAGTGTTCTATTTCTCCACTTACTTTGAGAATCACATGGAATTTATAATTTTGCTTCAACTGATAATTTTGCTTCAAATATCAAACAATTTCAAAAACACAGGAGGTGAAGGAAAATCCATTAACCTAGTAAGAATTTTATTCTTAGTTTTCTTCTCTCTTTCTTATGATCCAAAATACCTTCTTTTACCATTTATTCCCTTTAAGAGTTCTTTCAGAGGGGTCTGGTGGTGATACATTTTCTTAGTTTTCCTTTATCAGACAAAGTCTTGATTAGGATGCCTATTGATATTTTTGGTGGATAGTCAATGGTTTTTTATTAGAATCACCCAATTAGTGTCTAAAACTTTTCTGCCTTTCTAGAATGCCTTTTATCTGTCATTTTGACCAGAGAGAAAAAATATTTTGGAGACTTGGGTGTGTACCTGTTGGTGTCTGTGGTTTGCTAGGCTCTCTGACACCAGTCTATGTGAGGTAGAGGGAAATTCCGGAGAGCTCACCACCATGTCATTCCTTGGGTCTCCAGGGCTGGGATCTGTCATCTTTCTCGTTATCTTTCTGACTCTATATTGTCTTAGGAATAATACCCAGGGATTGTAGCTGTATTGGTGGGAGGAATAGGGAAAAGTCTATCCAGTCTATCTTTCCAGAACAGAAAGTTTGGTCTGGGGTGGTTTTCATTTGAATGCTCCTAAGACTAATGGTGTTGAGCATCTTTTCCTGTACTCATTGGCCATGTCCACATGGTGTTTGGTGAAGTATCTATAGAAATATTTTGGTAATATTTTTACTTTGTTTCATTGTATTTTGAGAACTCTTTACGTACCCTGGCGGCAAGCCTTTTATTAGATGTATGATTTGTACATGTTTCTTCACAAGTTTATGACTTCTTTTCTCTTCAAAGAGCAGACATTATCTTGATGAACTACACTTCATCAAGTTCTTCTTTTATGGATTGTGTTCTTGGTATTTTGTGTAAAATATCTCTGCCCAACTGTAGGTCATGCACTTTTTATAATACGTCTTGAAAGATTTTGTTTTCGGGGCGCCTGGGTGGCTCAGTCAGTTAAGCGTAGGACTTCAGTTCAGGTCACGATCTCGCGGTCCGTGAGTTCGAGCCCCGCGTGGGGCTCTGGGCTGATGGCTCGGAGCCCGGGGCCTGCTTCCGATTCTGTGTCTCCTTCTCTCTCTGCCCTTCCCCCATTCATGCTCTGTCTCTCTCTGTCTCAAAAATGAATAAACATTAGGGGCGCCTGGGTGGCGCAGTCGGTTAAGCGTCCGACTTCAGCCAGGTCACGATCTCGCGGTCCATGGGTTCGAGCCCCG